GACCCCATCTTAATGCCTTTGTATTTAGGGGAAAATTGTCCTTTTTTTACACCTTGACACTTTAACTTGACATCAGAATAATAATGTCAGCGCTGGTGACACACAGCCACGAACAGAGGAAATTCTGAGTTCAGGCTATCATTGCATGACTCACTGTGTGTGTTTACCCAGTACTAAAAGTACCTGTTATACATTTTCTCCATTTGCTTCTTCTGGACAAAGGATGTTGTTCTGATGCTTTGTTTAACAGTGCTTTGCCTAACAGTGCTTTGCCAACTGAGACATGGAAGAGAAATATGGAGGAGAGCTTCATAAATACTAATCCAGTACATCTGCTGTGAGCAGTTTTGTGTTGGGTCAGTAACGTGTTTTAGTGGGAAACCTCAGGGAAGAAACCCGAGCACTGAAAGAACTGATGGTGATTTAGCTAGTGGGTATCTTTCCCCTGAGCCTACATAATGATGCTAGATGCTGAGAGCAGCCAAAAGATGGATGCTGAGGGTAGCCAAAGACAGTCAAGCTTTATTTAGCAGGGTATTCTGCCTGGCATCAGCCTCCAGTAATTCCTATCTGATATCTGCCAGCATATATGGATTGCCAGATGCCTTAAGACACCTCAAATGTCATCAAGCACTGGAATAGCAGGAATCCCACCTATATGGTGGCTCAGAGGATGAGGGTTGCTCAGAAAACTTACTGATCTTGATTTTGGAAGCACACCAGGAGATGCAATAAGTACTTTTGAATTTTTATGCTTCATAGGGGTCTATCATCTGAATTCACTACTGTCCTTCTAATTCCAAGGGCATGTCTCCATTTCCTATATGCTAGTATTTGAAACCAGCTCCATAAATGCTGTAGGCACCAAAAATCCACTAACAGGGGGAGAAATGTGGATTCCCAGCTGCCTTAGGAGACCTATGTGTTCTAACAATTCTGCAACCAGTGCTAAACCTCATGACTGCAGTTCCACTAACCTCTCTGTTTGCCCATTTCAATACATCATGTTAGTACCTCTAAGTGCAAAGAAATGGAGTAACAGGGAACTTCTGGGGTGTAGGAGATGAGAAGAGTAGGTGGGGTCTGATGGAACTTATGGAAAGGGAGGACAGAGGGCACTGGGGCTGGAAGAGAAGGAAATAGGGACACACAGCACCTTGTGACCAGGATGGAGAATTGGAGGATGCAGGGGGGGAAATGAGGGAAGATTTAAAGGTGATGTGTGGGCAGTCTTTTAAACCAGTACTAGAGGTAATGTAGCCCTAGAGCAGCTATAGAGGGATGCAGAACCCAGTGGAAAGCTGGGCTGAGCAGAACTGTGCCAACAGAGGCGATGAGGCATCTTACACCTATGTGGGCTGGCCTTTCATAGTATTTTTATTTCATATCACCAACTCAAGCAAACTGAAAAATTCCCAAAAAGGTGCAAAAAAGTCAAAGTTAATGTCCTCTAAAAATGTAAAAAGTCAGAGATCTAGGCAAGAAGAAAGCCTACACTGCCATTCCCTAGTTCCCTGGTGTTGTGGTTTAACCCCAGCAGGTAAATAAGTACCACGCAGCTGCGTGCTTACTCCCCTCCATGGTGGGAGGGGGAGGAGAATGGGAAAACAGGTGAAACTCATGGGTTTAAGAATTAAAATAATAACAATAATAACAATAATGATGAATAAAAAGAGAGGAATAAAATCCCAGGCAGAGAAGTGATGCACAGTACAGTCGCTAACCACGAGCTGCCTGATGTCCAGGCTGTCCCTGAGCAGTGATTGGCTTCTTGTGCCCCTCCTCGCTGACAGAGCATGAGACTGAAAAGCCCTTGATCAGAGAAGGTGTAGGAGAAGAGGAGTTTGAACTTGGTCAGAGTATGCTGAGTGACCTTAATTCTTCGGGGAGCTAACTTTGAGCCAGACTCTGCAATTTCAGCTCTGCAGGGAACTAACCTTGAGCAAGAAAAGTGGAGCAAAAGAAGCGGAACAAAAGGGGATGAAAACAAGAGGTAGAAGAAGGAACTGAGAAGTGAGGAGAAGATCGAAAGGAAGATGTCGAAAAAGGCAGACTAACCTATTAAAAGCTTGTATTGCGCACGTGAAGAGCAGCAACTAACCAATCACATTGTAGCTCTGAGCATGTGGACATGATCTAAAACGTATATAATCTTCATAATCTGAAGTAAAAAGGTCTTTGACTTACAATTGAAGTCCGTGCCTTAAACCCCCTCAAATAAGGGTTACTTAGCAACAACTAAAAACATCGGTGTTATCAGCGCTGTTCTCAGACGAAATCCAAAACACAGCACTGCACCGGTTACTAGGGAGATAATTAACTCTGTCTCAGCTGACATAAGGACACCTGGCTTCTTCTCATCTCTTGGCTCTTTTGTCATCCATACAACAGGGACGTTGATGTTTTAGGGACAAACCATGCAGTTTCCTTGGGTACAAGGACTGCCTGAAGTTCTAGGCCAGGTGGATGTGATTCTGGACAATCTGATCTAGCTGAAGATGCCCTTGCTTGTTGCAGGAGGGTTGGACTGGATGAGCTTTGAAGGTCCCTTCCAACCCAAACCATTCTATGTTTCTATAAGAAACCCCAAAGCTGATTTTAATATTTTTTACTTTGATTCTAATATTTTTTATTTTGATTTTAATATTTTTATTTTGATTTTAATATCAAACACATTGGTGAGGAGGTATAGCAGGGAAGAGAAGCCAATGTTTGAAAGGTTATGATGGTTGATAAGGGAAAGATTCTTGAAAATGGGAGGTAATATTGACAGTGAAGCAGTTAGAAGTCAACAGAGGGAAGCAAGCAGAAGGTCACACTGAGACCTAGGAAATTCATCTTTCCGAATGATGATCAGAGACAGGAATATGGTAAAGGCCAAAGAGGTAGATACTGCAGTCTCGCTTGATGTGTGAGAATTTGCATGATGTGGATGAAATGGCAAAGCTGGATCCTAGAAGTGTTGCATGAGATCCAGCTGCAACATGGATGAGTTGATCCAAGAGCACCAGCCTGATGGGTATTGCTCACTGTCACCCATGTGCACAATCCTTATCTGACATGCGAGTTCAGAAGAACCCAAACTCCATTTGTTCATAGGTTAAAACAACAGGTGCCCTTTATGATGAATAGACTCAATGCTGTGGGTTTTCTTAAGAAGAGACCAAAGAGTTGTAGATTTGAGTGCCTGGTGCTAAGATTCAGATCTGCAGTCTGCTTCAAAGAGGCTTTTGAAGTCTTGAGGGAAACATGCTTTTAGCTTTCAGGGAAAGTAGAGCACATGATCTCAATGTGCTGCTAATCTGATAACTCTTCAATTCTAATCACCCCGACAGTCTGTGGTAAACCGTGTGGTTAACTATTTCGGGTACAGTCACATCTCTAGAAGCCACAGCGTGATGTAGTTTACAAGGCAAATCCTTTGATAACACCAAGCTACAAGGGGATCAACATACCCCTTACACAGCTTGGCTGTTTGGCTGCTAACAGTTGTTGCCTTCTTCAAAGAAGGCTATAATGTTGGTCAAACATGACTTCCCCTTGGTAAAACCATGTTGGCTGCTCTTAATGACCCCCTCATCCTTGATATGTCTAGAGATGGTGTCAAGAATAAGTTGTTCCATCACCTTTCCAGGGATGGAGGTGAGGCTGACGGGTCTATAATTAGCCAGGTCCTTCCTCTTGCCCTTCTTATAGACTGGCATGACATCTGCCATCCTCCAATCCCCAGGCACCTCTCCTGTTTCCCACAACTTACCAAAGATGATGGAGAGCGGCCCTATTAAGGATTCAAGGCCCATTTTACAGTCATTCTTGCTGGTTGCTAAGGCTGCATTAATTATGGCTGTAGAAGATGTGAAAACATGATGCCCAAGAATTTCTACTCATAATAGCTGTTACTATTATGCATAAACATAAAGGGCCACAGATCATGCACCCAAAGATCCAAAATGCCATCTCTAATGCAACCAGCCTGCTTTATCTTTTAATTTCTGAGCCTTTAGGCCTTAAATAATCATTAAGTAGTGCCTTTCTCAGCTTCTGGGACTCCAGCTCAGCTTCAGTGGGCTTTTCAAGTACACTGAAACGATCTCACTTAATTCATTACAACTGATTGAGAATTATATTTAGACGTGATTTGCTGATGACACAGCACTTCAAGTCCTTGTTTTGGGACAAGTTATATTTAGGTTTGCAAACTTCTGTCACAGTAAGCTGCTCTTTGGTGTGCTCAGACTAAACTGAGAGTCTGCTTCCCCCTCCAGTGTTTGCTTATAGATGATTGCAAGTCTTAATGGCTTAGTTTTCCTTATTATGCCTTCATACACTGAATGTACAGCTTAATTAAGGAAATGTTGGTAGTCTTTCATGTTGCTCATTTGCTGGGTTCGGAAAGGAAGGGCTCAACAGCCTGCTTTATGCAGGGGAGCAGGAGCAGGCAGATAGACCTGGTGCCTTTTACCACTGCCCCCAGCTGCTGTAGAGCATCTCTGCTCCAGCATCCTTTGTCCTGTAGAAGAAACACAAGGGAGTCGAATCAGCCCCTCTTAACTAAAGAAGTGTGGACAAATACAGGCTTCTTGTCGCTTTGTGGAGACACTCCCAAGGGGTTTTTCTGCAGCCTGAACAAATTTATATTTAGAAAATCAATGCCAACAACTAGCTCCAATGGGAAGGAGTCTTTTGGACGGTGGGGTTTTCCTAAAATTGAAATATAAAATGTTCACTTAAGATAATCAACAGTTTCACCAGACTTTCAGAGCCGCTCTTTGGTTTAGCGTCAACCACAGAAACAATGCTTTGCTACCTTCATGTTCCATTCATGGCATCCAGTTTCATCCCTCTGCTGTGATTTCAGCCCTGTGGCCAGGAGCAGAATTAGGCTTCTTTCACTGAGCTCTGGGCATGATCTGGTATTGGTAAGACAGAAGAATGTGGGAAGTCCTCGGTGAACTGGGTAAATGCACAGGCTGTCCTGACTTTCATCTTTCCATTTGCAGAAGCCTGCCCAGCTCTTCCAACAACCGAATTTGCTGATGTTACTGCTAAAAGGTATCCACTGAGGACCAAACTGTACTATGAATGTGACAAGGGCTACACAAGAAGAAGTGGGCAGTACTTGGGAATTCAGTGTCAGAGTATAGAGCAGGTTGCTTCTTGGGTCTACAAGGAATTTGAATGCATTGGTAAGTGATGATTGTCCTTTTCCTACACTTTTAGAGGTGTTTTTCCAATGAGTTTATGTAAGACACATTGGGCCATCGCTCTAACAAGTGATCTTTTATACTTATCTTTGCTAATTAGAACTTGTAGCAACTCTATTCTGCCTCTAGAACTTTGGGTTCTGTGGCTTTGCTCTGCTACTGGTCCTGCTGTAATTCAGCAATATGACCTCTCCCACAGAAGAGAGAGTTTTATTGTCAACGGCTCCCACAATGGAGTTAGATGCTACACAGAAACCAGAAAGAAAACCACAGAAGACCCCTGCACCCCAGAAGCAAGTAAACCTTTCAGCATCTGACCAGAAAGGTAAGAGCCCATTCATTACTGTAACACTTCTCCCATTTCCGTGGAAGCAGTGTAAGAATAATGACAAGTGATGTGGCGTAAACAAATGAGTATTCTGTATCCTAACACATCCTGCTAGTCTATATGTTGTAAGATCGCAAATCGTGTTGTTTCAATAACAAAAGCAGCAGGGAAAAAAATCTGCTTTAACTGTGTGCTGCCTTGTGATCCCACCAGATTTCTGTGGTCCTCCCAAGACTGTTCCACATGCCTCTTTAAGCCTGAACAGACAGTATTACGTGGGACAAGTCTTACATTTCAAATGCCAGAGCGGGTACGACAAGCGACCTCCCATCTCTGGCACTCGTGAGTGCAAGAAGGGGAATGGCAAAATCAGCTGGACCCCCCTTGACATGCGATGCACCAATGACAGCAATGAGTGGCTGCCACAGACTGTTGAGCCAGGTAAGGTGGTTGCTTTGGCATCATATCTGTGTCATGACCTGTTCCAACTCAGCACATCAATCGTAAGGAACAGCCTGCTTGGGGTTTGGGATGGAGAAATCAGGGACACCATGGCTCTGGCACTGATGGAGATGGCATTTCTGACTGATGAGGATGACATCTCCAGGGATGATACAGCTGCATCCTACTTTGTCATGGTCATCCTTTCATACTAACTGCAAAACTGCAGGAATTTGTGAGCAGATAGAGCCACACTGTCACATACTGGGGAGAAAATAGGAGAATAAGCCTTTCTCTTTCTCCTTCATCCTGGGAGCTATATTGTCTATTGTCACTTCACAGTAAGGTCCTCCAAAAGGTGTATCTAAGTATTCTTCATGATTGCTTAGGGCTTTGGGATCCAGAGTTTACCTAGTTCATAGCTACACCTGAATAATGCTTAAACTGGTTCTTAATTTAACACCCAGGATGCTGTTTTGAACAAAGAGACAGCAAGAAGCCCACCAATATTGCACTGTATACTTTATGGCCCCCAGGTCAGCAGGACACCTGCCATTGTGGACTGACATCTTGAGTTTCACTGCTCGGGGAGCCTCTCAAGTGAGGCTGCAGAACCTTTGCCTCTTGCTTTTATGCCTTTAGATGTATTAATGGAAAAAAACCCCAAACCCAAACCAGACCTTCATATGGCCTCTACACCCAAACTATCTACGTTTTCTGAAGACATCTCTCCTAACCTTGCAGTGCACGAATTCAACATGCAGAGAGCAGACAGAACCCATTTCCCAAGTATCTGTGATAGCATTGACGGTCTGGGGCTCTCTCTGAGTGTCAGGCAGAGCTATTGATGGTGAAAGGACCCAGATGCCCATCACCTCTACAGTCCTCAGCCTTCCATTACCCTTCCAACCTCCTCTGGGGCAGGGGGTGCAATGGGCTGAGTTTTAGAGGTGGGAGCCAATGCAAGGTCAATGCAAGAGGAATTTCCTATCAACAAAGAGTGGAAAAAGCTGTTTTCCACCAGTACTTGGGACTTTAAGGGGAAATAAATCTTTCAGAACTGTTGACATGTACTGGATATATGCCCACATCCGAGTTGGGCTGCCTTTATAAGCAACAAAGGGGACTGTAAGAATGAATCACCTTCCTCACTCACTGGACACACTATTTGAGCATTAATGTAGGACTTTCTCTCCTTCATAGGTCCATCTCTTTCGCTGTGGTGCCTGGTTCAGAGTGCTCCAGGTACAGCAGTCACAATTTCTTGTTTGGTTTTGAGTGGTCACCACACTCATTTTCCCCCATTGATCATTTCACTTGGTACTACCAGGATAAAGGCAATTCTTGCTATGACTGAAATAACCCATCAACATTCCAGTCCTAGAAAATGGCACAACCTCTTGAACAGTCAGAAACAGCAAATACCTCAGATTTTAAAATTAGGCTTATGAAGAACAGGGAACTGGATGATGAAATTGCCCTTTAATTCAACAGAACAAGAATTCAATTTCCCTGCAAAAATACATTCATACCTGAGCAAGATCAGGTCTTTGTGATCAGTGCATCAAATATTGACACCCCCAAAATGTTGCCTTTCTCATTATTATGATGTGATGGTTGTCTGTAATGGAGCTGGGTAAGGAATGTCCTCCCCTTTCTCAGTTCTTCCGCCAGCATTCACCAGTAAGAGATTTATCAAGAGACATCTCATATAGGGCCTTTCGTGAAAAAAGCTGTCCAGATCTCATAGTAGCTCAAGTTCAGAGATTCCTTTCAGGATAAGGGAAAAATACAATGAAATAGATAAGGGAGAAACACAAATTTCTTGCACCAGGGAATTTTTGGCTTATATTCTAGGGAAAAAGAGGCCCTGTTTGAAGCTATGTTTTCAAATCTTAGCTTGGCACCTTGAAAGGCATCCTCCCCAGTTTCATATGAAATAAAGACCTTAGCTGGATCCCATTCCCTGGAAGATACAGTTCACTTCATTCCCATTATTAACAGATATCAGGTCAGCACATGCATTGATATCCAGGCTGGAAACATGTATCGATAGCCAAGAAACAAACATGGCAATTATTAAGTCTTCTGGGCAGAGGGAGAAGGGCTGTCAGTCTCTACCCTCGTCGCTGCTTCCATGCTGGAGCAAGCTGGCTCTTGCCTGACTCCATCGTCATCACTGCTTTGATGCTCTTCAGAAGAAGAACAAATCAATACAAAACTCAAGGATTTCTGTCTTTTCACAGGTTCTACTCATCCACCCTTTTCCTCGTCTGTGATACTGCCAGTGACAGGTATGGCGTTTTGTTAATAGGACTCAACTTCACTCCATCCCCCAGAGCAGTTACTTTGCCTTTCAATTGGCTGTTTAAACCATCTCAGCCCTAAGAGGTAATAAATACACTGCAAGAGACATCTACATCCATGTATTGGGTGAGAAATCAGTAAAGAAAGTGTAAACAGACACTGTTTAAGCAGTAAAGCTTTCTATAAAGGTGTTTTCAAAGACTTAGAAGAGATATAACCCTAACAATTCTATGATTCAGTGTAAAAGAAAATAGATCACACTAAAGTCTAGTTTTTAAATGAAGCAATTTTCAGATTCTTCCTCTGAGGCTTTCTGTGAATTCAGTGAATAACTTCAGCTGGAAAAAAAAAAAGTCAATATTTAAATGATGTTTTTCTTTCACATTTTCAAAGGGGTAAAAAAAAAAAGATGGGCAAATGAAATATTTCCTCGCAGCTAAACTGCTGCATTGAGATCAGTGTGAAGAGATTTTTCTTCTCCCTCTTCCCCATCCTCTATTCAGCCATTAGCTGCTAAAATAGAATTGTCTCATACTGTGCATATACTCAAGACTTTGTACAAGGGCTCTTGATTCCAGCTGGAGTCTGATGACAACTGTAGTGCACAGTATAATAAGGAGGAATAATGGAGTGGGATAAAGGAAGGGAAAGAGGAATATTGCAAACTATGCCAGAGACCGCAGCATCAGTAGTCCCTGGTTATTTGGCTGTGGTCAATCTCTGGTTGCCAAAACCCATCTGGCTAGGTCCTGTTTGTCCCAGGGAGCAAAGCAATGGAGCAGTATGGAAGAACTCTTGCTTCTGGGCATAGGGGCAATATGAGACCCTATCTCAGGTCTTCCCTGTTTCTCCCAGTTGGATTAAGTGCAATAAGATAACACCATAGAATCAGAATCACAGAATAGTGATTTCCAATTTGAGTTGGAAAGGACCTTAAGATCACCCAGCTCAAAACCCCCTGCCATGGGCAGAGACACTGGGTGCTAAGCATGTTGATTTTCTGTTTCAACAGCTATCTTTTTTGTTCTGCCTGTCATTACTGCTGTCTTCATGTGACTCACCAAGCAGAGAATACAGTAAGTGGGATGGAACCAGGAAAATGTGAAATCTAAAATGAAATTCCCTAGGAGTGGAAGAACTATCACCCGAATCAGTCATCTCACTGGTGCACCACTTAGAATTCTGAATACCTTCTTTGATGTTAAATAAATGACCCTTGATTTTGGGTTGTATGGTTCAGATACTAAATACTGGCACAAGAAAAGGAGAATCAGAGCTTTTGAAATCAGAAAAGCATGCTCGGTCCCTGCCAAAGTGGAACTGAGAATGGCAGCTCAGATAATGGGTGGGAAATGAATGCTGTGGGGAAATTAAGGTTAATCATGCAAATAAGCTGGTTTCAGATAGATTACACAATCAATCAGTCTTGTTCTCCCTGGCTAACCTGTGGGAAGGCTGGTGGAGCATCTGCCATCACGACCATGTAGTTTTTCTTCCTTCATCCCCCTGATTTCTCAGTCGTGTCATGACAGCTTTGTGCCTCAGACTTATTTTAGCCTCCTCACTGCTTCTATTACTACAGTGAGACACACCAAGGCTGTTCCTTTTCACAGACTCCTCAGCCTACTTAATACAAGATGTCCCTATTTGACATTTGGGAGTTCTTTGCTAATCCTCATTCCTATTACTTTTCATGTTCCCTATTAATTAGTAGTGGGGTCTGCTTCTGAGTTGAATGGGGATTTTGCTTGAAAAGGAGGAGGGGAGTCCTTGTGGAACACATTTGCAGTGTTCTTATTTCAGTTCAAGATAGGATAAAGCCATAGAAAGTGTAGACAAGAGTTTGAAACATGTTTTAGTGAAGATGATCAACCATGGTGCAGATTGCCTGGGCCATTGTAGGGTTTCTCGGAATATGATAGGTGGGAAATTGTTAAGAATAGCCTACATTTCACTGGTTCAGTGGTGGAACAAGTGATAAAATAGCTGATGCTAGATGAAATAGTAACTGAGATCCTAAGTGGTGTCTTCTGAGAAAAGCACTGTGTGGTTTCTCATAGTAAATATAGAAGGAATCATCAAAAATGTGCTTCTTCCCAGCTGTAGTAAAGTCTTTTTCCTGCTGTAGGGTTCAGACTGCAGAGCTCAGATCCAAACACATGAAACTGATGCTTGATACAGAAGAAACCAGACTGTACCAGAGGCTCCAAGACCAGCACTGGCAAACAAGGAAGAAGCCTGAACATTCATATTTCACCATGTGAAGGAGGCAGAAGATATTACAGCTTAATTCTCATGGGGACAGAGGGACTTTCCACCTACAGAGCACTGGGGTGTGTGTGTGTGTGTGTGTGTGTGTGTGTGTGTGTGTGTGTGTGCATCCCATCACTGACAGATGGGGAAAGAGCCCTGTCTGAAACTGCTTCCCAAAACCACTCCCCTCCTCCTACCATATAGCAGATGTGTTGCTAATATAACTGCAGCCTTTCCCAAGCGACCAGGCTTACATATGGACCATTTGCCCAAGCATGTTAGGTGATGGCACCATCAATACAGCCCACACACCATCTTCTGCACAAAAAGAGATGCCGGACGCCTGTCCCATCCCTACCAGATGGGTCAAATGCAGTCACTCTTTTCTCCTTCTATTACTGGATATCCCCTTGGAAAAGGCTATTAAACCCATTTACCCTCTGCACATAAGTTGAAATACTTACTGAACTGGAAATTCTTACTGGCCACATATATACACACACACAGGTATACAGCTATAGATATATACACAGGCCAAATGACTTATGGTCTAAAGGCACCTGATTCTCTGCATTGACCCTAAATGATATCCATATTGAGTAGATTAGTTATATATTTTTACCTGGCATATGACAAAAGCAAAATGAGATTAATCCCTTCCTTATACTTCAGGAGGCATGGGATCTTGGAGTAGTTTCCTATTTTGTGATAGAGTGTATGTGTAAGTGTTTTATTGGTTTGTATTCCTGTTGAGTTATTCTCCCTTTGAAGCCTTGATATTTATACTTCCCATGGCTTTTCTTTTTTTATTTTATTCCTGCTGGAATACGATTTGTTTGTACTATATCTCTTTATAAAGATGGATGTGTAATGGCCTATTACATGCCGTTAGCTTGTATGGGAGCAAACAACAATCTGTATTTACATGATAGATGACAGGTTTTCACACCTCTCAGCTGCTTTGAAGGCTGCAAGCAGGGGGAGTGAGCTCTCCTGATTCATTCAATCAATGCACATTACTTATTGCTAACATACCTCTGTTAAGCATTGCCATGGCTCGTCCTGCTCAGGGCATTTCACTTCCATACTCCTAACATGCACATTGTTATGCAGGTAACGAAGAGCAGAGTTGCATGGCTCCTGCTGCTCCAGTGGCTTTTCCTTTCCTCACCAGGGCCTTTCTCTCCACATTTTATCTTTGTTTCTTGGGAATGACGGGGCACACTCTGCTGGTAAGGGATTGGTAAGGAACAGCAGGTTACAGACTGGGCAACTATTGCGGGCTTTAATTTTCCTAGCTATTAATGTGTACGCAGGGAGTCTGAGCCCAGGTCACCTCCAGCACGGGAGCTGTATTTGTACTTCATCAGGAAGCTGTAATTCTGCTGAGCCGTACTTTACCTCTCAATAGACCTTGCTGGTCCTTAAGGGGAATGGCTGCATCGGAGGCTTAAACCTTCAATGCAACAAGCAGAGAGCAAGTAGAAATCAGAGGGACCCAGCCTGGGAGCAAAAGGCCACCACTGCAAGAGGCTGTGGCCAAAGGGGCACCAACGCTGTTGTGCTTTTCCCAGGGCTGCTCTCACTGATTTTACAGGAGGTGTGGTTGATATTTTCGTTTGCAGACTCTGATGTTCTCAGCATGGAACAGCTAATAAACTATAACAATAAACTGTTCCGGGTGTTTGAAAGGCAGCTTGTTCTTCCTGTTATTGATCTACACCTTGAAAAAGACATGATTTATTTGCCATTACAAAAGGTGTTAAAAACCAGGAAGGCTTGTTCTAAAGAGCTGTGCTAAAGCCCACTTCACACATGTAGGATCACAGCTAACCTTTAAAATGCTAACTAAAAACACTTAGGCAAGAGGATCTCTGGCAAACAATATCTCCAAAATAGGTAATGGAAGCAATATTTACAATCTAAGAGCAGTGGAGCTCCCTTAACATTAGCTATCCCCAAGGGGTGGAAATGCACATACTCCTATCCCACGGCCAGGAACACAAGTGTGAGAAAATGTGTTTTTTCCAGAGGTATGCATTATAAGAATCAGCCTACGCAATGCAATGCATCATCCAATGTCCCTTCATACAGGTGTCTCCGTGTGAGCTGGTCCCATCACAGTGGAGATAAGAGGAGTCTAGAGACATTCAGCCATCACATGCACATGTCCACCCAGGCTGGGTAGTATTCCAGACCCCATGGACAGCATCAGCCATTGATTCCATTGACACTACTGGCTGCTCAGACAGCAGCTCACGTGGAAACACCTACAGATTGATCCGGTTGCCTAAAGATAGGTATCTGCTGTGATCTTCATCAGGGACTGTAGTGACAGGGCAAGGGGGCACAGGTTCAAACTTAAATGGGAAATTCAGGTTAGAATAAGGCAGAAGCTCTTCCCTATGAGGGTGCTGAGGCGCTGGCCCAGGGTGCCCAGAGAAGCTGTGGCTGCCCCATCCCTGGCAGTTCTCAAGGCCAGGTTGGACACAGGGCCTTGGAGCAACCAAGAAATTCAGGGAAGGTATTCCCTGACTAGATTTCATTTTTAAAGCTGTGTCGCTCATTTACATACCCACTATGATCCTTTCTATCGAGAGACTCTGGAGGTGTCATCCCAACAGTGGGGAGGTCCATGTGGGAGGAAGGTGCAGCCAATGGCTGCAGGGCTAAGTGCTGCTGCATAAACGGCTTGGGCCTTTTGCAAGAAAGGAAACTGGTTCTTCTACCCTGCCAACAGCCTCCACCTTCCCCATTCTCCTAACACAGCCCTTTCAACCACTTGATCGTAGAGTCATAGAATAGTTAGGGTTGGAAAGGACCTTAAGATCATCCAGTTCCAACCCCCCTGCCATGGGCAGGGGCATCTCACACTAAACCATGGCACTCAAAGCTGTGTCCAACCTGGCCTTGAACACAGCCAGGGATGGAGCATTCACAAGTTCCTTGGGCAAATGTTGTACGGCCAGGACCCAGTTTTGTATCAATTGTGCATCCAGTAAGGATGAGGGCTCCAGATCAATGCTCAGACCCCAGCAATCCTTAGAGAAGCTCCTGGGGACGTATTACCATAGTTATCCTCAGGAAACCTCCACCTCCAGCAAGCCTTCATGACCAGGGAATCTGGTGGTAGCCGTGCAACAAGCTGATGAGGAGGCTGATTTTGCTCATCGGGTTGCGGGAGGTGGGTATCACAAAGACACTGCTCCAGCGTTTATGCACCAACGTTCTCAGAGTTTCCATCTCAGGGGGAATTTGGAAGCTCATGGCCTTTTGTTCTGATTCAGACTGAAAGCACAGTTTGAAGTAACATCATTTCCTGTGCACGAGAAGCCCTGTTTTCCAGCTCGCCCTGCTCAGAACCAAAGGTTTCTCTCCTTCAATTCTTACTGTGTTCGTGCTGTTCGAAGTCCCTCAATCCTTTGTAAAGTTCTGCAGTGTCAGATAACAAATACCAAAACTGAAGGAGTTTATACTGTGCTTTTTAGCCTTAAGTCACCATGCTCACTAAAAGGAAGATAATTCTATTTTTGTTTTATTGGGTTGGATATGGTGGCGCTGAGGTGACTTTGTAAACTGATGTCAGTCCCAGTCCGGTGCTCTGAACATGCAGAGTAAGATCTCAAAGTCCCAGGAGTAATTTAGTGCTTACCATTTGCACATGCGGCAGTTTGTTAAAACAAGTCTTCATTTACAAGGGCCTGTAGGGACAGGACAAGTGGGAAAGGCTTTAACCTGACAGAAGGTGGATTTAGATTAAGTATAAGGAAGAAGCTCTTCCCTGTGAGGGTGCCCAGAGAAGCTGTGGCTGCCCCATCCCTGGCAGTGTTCAAGGCCAGGTTGGACACAGGGGCTTGGAGCAAGCTGCTCTAGTGGAAGGTGTCCCTGCCTGTGGCAGGGGGTTGGAACTGGATGAGCTTTAAGGTCCCTTCCAACACAAACCAGTCTGGGGTTCTGTGATTT